AGGTCTCCCAGCCTGGCTCCAGAGCAGAGGGGCTCCAGCCCTGGGAGCAGCTCTGTGGCCTCCTCTGCTGGGTGTGAGCCAGCCGGCCCCGTGGCCACCACACACCCCACAGTGTCTGCACTGGTGCCACCAGCCCTGGGCCGGGGAGGAAACGTGTCTGCAAACAAGAAGTGAAACTGCTCTGCTCTGCTGTCCCGCTCAGGCGGCAGGGCCGGGGGAAGGAGGGTTTAAGGGTGATCAGCTGGCCCGGAACAGCAGGGCTGCCAGGCAGGACCAGCAGGGCTGCCAGGCAGGGCGGGCACTGCCACACCACAGCCAACCCCAAGGACGGGGGGCTGTGATCAGCCACAGCTGGAGGCTCCCAGGCTCCATTCCTCTTCTCCCCAGGAGCTCCCTCCTCTGCTCTGCCCGTTCCCCTCGTCCTCTCTCCTGCTTTCTCTCTTCTCCCCTCCTGCAGAGCTCCATTTTCTCTCCCTCCCCATGTGCCCCCTGTGACTGGAAGCCGCCGGCACTTCCCCATCAGGAGCCGGTTCCTCCCCCCCTTCCTGCCCTGGCACAACTGCAGTTGCAACACGAGCCCCGACGGAAGAGCAGCTTTTGCAAGACGAATTCCTGTTCCTCACGGCCAATTCCTGTCCCTCACACACTAAACCCTGACAGCCCTGGGGAGCTGTGCCCTGTCCGACAGGGTTAAAAGCAGTGCCAGACTCGGGGCTGGCAGGGACACGGACCCCCTGCTCCCCCCTCCACACAGACCCAGCCTTCCAGCTCTTCACATGGAGCTTGTCCTGGACACAGTCCCAGGTTTGGCCCTGGAGGAACCCCGTGGGGACTCTTGGTGGCTTCCTCTGCTGAAGGACAGGACACCGCAGGACTGGAGCTGTCCCCTCCCTGTCCCCTCCTGTCCCTCCGGGGCTGGGGGCAGCAAAGGTGAACAAAAAGCCCCCCCAAGGGACACAAACGGCGGCAGAATCTGTCCCCAGGGTGCTGTGACCCACACGGAGGGATCCCCTGTGCCCTGGCCTAAAGCAGCCCCACGAACCTCAGCCCAGGGAGCTCAGCTGGCACTGCCCAGCCTGTCCCTGCTCCCCGAGCTGGCGGTGACACTCGGATCAGGGAGGAGGATGTGGCAGTGGCACCTCCTGGGGCCCTGCTGGCCCTGCCTGCTGAGTCAAGGCAGCCACGGGGGTCACAGGAGCTGGGCCAAGCCCACTGGGGGCCACCAGCCGTGGGCTTGGGGCCCGAGGAACCCAGACAGCGAGTGGGACAAGCTCCAGGAGACCCCACTCAGGCTGGAGGATCCATGGGAGTGATTCCCAGCAGGAGCCCAACTCAGTCACGGGGCAGGGCAGACCTGCAGAGTGACAGTAAGTGCCCCTGA